TTGCCTGTGTGCACACTCACTCTCTGTCTCTCTCTCCCTCCTTCTGGTACCCCTATAGTATGAATGTTGGTATGCTTAAGCTTGTCCCAGAAATCCCTTAAATGGCTTACTTTTTAAAAGTCTTACTTTAAAGAAAAGATTTTGTTTATTTTTAAAGAGAGGGAAGGTAGCAAGAAAGGCAGAGAAATGTTGATGTGCAAGAGAAACATCTATCAATTGCCTCTGTACTCCTTAACGGGGGGCCTGGTCCTCAAACCCCAGGCATGTGTCCTGACCAGGAATCAAACTGTGGACCTTTCAGTGTGTGAGACATTGCCCAACCCACTGAGCCATACCAGCCAGGCCTCTTTTTTCTCTTTGCTGTTCTGACTGGGTGTTTTTCACTAGCTTGTCTTCTACATGGCTTTCATCCCCTACCTCATTTAATCTTCATTTCAGTTATTGCATTCTTCATTATGACTGGTTCTTTATTGTTCTGTCACCTTGTTGAGGTTCTCATTAAGTTTATCTGCATGTGCGATTTTTTAAATTTAATTTTGGCTTCGCTACTGGTGCAATGACTACATTAACTTTGCTAAAAACAAACATAAATAAATCAGTGCGTAGGTTACTGATAAAAGAACTGATTCAAACCCTACCAAATTGATACTAGCTGTGAAGACTTTGGTTAAATCACTAAACTTTGTTGTATTGTACTTTCTTCCATAAGTTGGCATTAAAGTACTTATTTAAGATTGGCTGTGAACCCTGGCTGGCGTAGCTCAGTGGTTTGAGTGCGGGCTGTGAACCAAAATATCGCAGGTTTGATTCCCAGCCAGGGTACATGCCTGGGTTGCAGGCTATAACCCCCAGCAACTGCACATTGATGTTTCTCTCTCTCTCTCTCTCTATCTCCCTCCCTTCCCTCTCTAAAAATAAATAAAATCTTAAAAAAAAAAAAAAAGATTGGCTGTGAGGAATAAAATTATGTCTTAAGCTATATTATATGGTAAATTTACATTTACTTATATTTTAAAATTATATTAATATAAACTACTTAACCTAATAATATATGATATGAAATATGATACATAGCTACATAAATTATGTTATATATTGTTTCTCTCATATATAATCTACATGTTTGCATTTAAAATACTTAGCATAACATTTGGCTCATAGTATGTGATTAACAAATTTTAAATATCATTATTTTATACAATCTGAGACATAAACTCTAAACTTAATAGTTCTGTGACAACACTTGGGATGGACATCAAGACTTTTAGACTAAAGATATTCTCAACTATATCTGAGAATTAAATGACAAAAATAATAGAAATTTAATTAAGGCATAAAAGAAATCTGAAATATTGAGTTGGCCAAAATGTCCATAAAATAAAAGACACATTTTTCATTTTAACCAAAAACTTGATTAATTTGGATAGTTTGAATATGTCAGCTATCTCCCACTATTGGCTTCTAGTGGGTAGAGGCCAGGGGTGCTGCTAAACGTCTTCCAATACATAAGACAGCCCCACAGCAAAGAATTATTTGGCCAAAATGTCCCTAGTACCAAGAAACTTCGCAAACCACTTCTGACACATTTGATCAGTCACAGCACCTTCTCCATACACTGCACAAATCTTTGTGTTTCAGTTGTATTTTTACCTTTCTTGAAATGATAAAGCATTATACATGGAAAATGTTGCACATTTTCTTCCATCTTCAATATTAAGTTTTTTAAAAACTGCATGGTGATATGACAGTTGTCACAATACAATCTAACAAAATGGTTTTCAGTGAAGTTAAAGATAACTAAGCACTACTAGAGCCATCATATGGAAAAATCTAAACAAACTTTTTGGCCAACCCAATATATCATTACTAAGGCTGTGTTATTCTAAGTTGTATCAATTAATTCTGGAATTCAATTACACCATGAAATTGAATTGCTGCCACTAAACATACACTAATTTTAGATGGAGATGATTTAATACATAGTTTTCACTAAATTACAAATAAATAAAAAATCTTCACATATACTGTGGTAGATAATTATGATGGTTAAGGTTATGGCTATAACATACAATATTTTAATGGTTATTAAAGAGCATTCCTATAAGATTTATAAGAAGAAAGACTTCAGATTCTGTGGTAAGAAAAAAAATCAGGTAGACCAACTATGGAAACTATAACACTGCAATTTTCCTGTTGAAACACACAAAACTCTTACATACATAATTTATCTTAAAACATCACAACACAATCCCAACCATTCCAAATGAGATCTTAATGGAAATAAGTATAGAATATTTGGTCTTAATATAAAATTTATTCAATTCTCATTACGTTTCCTTTAAGCTAGTAAGGAAAAGCAGTATTGGAGTTAATTGCCTTCATAATGAAACCTCCTTAATTTTGTCTGTGTATTTGGCAATAAGGTCTTTTAGCAGTTACAAATATACTTCATAAAAGTTATGTGCTGAAATTACTGCATTATTTTCAAGTGTTGCCTTGAACTGCCTTCTACATACTAACAATATGAAAACTCTTAAGAGCTAATGCTGCACTGTCAGCAAAAGCACATCATCATTATGACTTTGTTGTTCTACTATAAGTTGGATTCCCTGAGTTTTTAAAGAATGATATTCAAACTATAGCTAAGTATAACAAAGAAAAGCAAAGTGTAAAATGTGTAAACACTCAAACATAGCTAATAATAGGCATGAACATATGAATAACATAACCATGTGAAGAAATAAGCAGATTATAAGCAAAAAAAAAAGTTTGCCCCATATGCAGGCTGGTTAAATCCACTGATTACTGATTAACTACCACTAACTATCAATTGTTACATTTGAAATACTTTAGCCCTGGTGTGGCTCAGTAGATTGACTGTCCACCTTCAAACCAAAGGATCACCAGTTCAATTCCCAGTCAAGGCACATGCCTGGGTTGCAGGCCAGATCCCCAGTGGGGGGAGTGCAAGAGGCAATCACACGTTGATGTTTCTCTCCCTCTCCTTCCCTTCCCCTCTCTCTAAAAATAAATAAAATCTTTAAAAAATATTTTAATCCTCCCCCCCCCCAATTTTTATAATTTTCGTAAATATTTGGAAGGTTCTTTGTACGTGTAGATATGCATATACATGCATACATCCATTTTAAATAACTGGATAAGGAACATAGTTTTACATAAAATTTTACTTTACAATTCTTTAGAAACAGACTTTGCATAGAAATCTTACAATAAGTCACTATCAGTCATTTAGATCACCACAAAGACAAGAGAAAATTAAATTATAACACACAGCAACTATATCAGAATCCTGAACAGTCATTCTAAAGAGCCTTAATAAAAGCACATTATTGAAAAATAAAAGTTACTGAAGTCCTAAAGAAACAGAGCATCCGGTCTCAAATTCCTGATGGAAACACCTAATCCAGAAGGCAAGCCCAAGCCCTCTGCTGGAGTACAATTAACAAGTGACAGCATGGTAGCCCTCTGGGCTGCATGTGAGCAAATATCTTGTTGGAAAAAGTGGCTTATTTTCTGTGGTTTGACCTTGTTTGTAAAGAGACTATAGGGAGTGTATTAAAATATTTGATGTTACAGCTAGCTGAAGCTCTCTGAATAATAATCAGGACTATTTTATCACTCAGGTACAAGCCAGTTCAGGCTTCTGGTAAATGCCTATTTGGGGATATTTCTACAAGGTTTGTGACTCAAGGTTTATCCATACAATTTCTAGAGCAATGCTAATCAGAGTTCCCATGAGTTGAAATCATACATGTGAACGATGTTCCTCTGGGCTCGATAACACCCACATACTATAGAACAAACTGTAAAGAAGCTATGAAAACAGAGCATTTTGGTCCCAACTCTTCCCATAACTTGCGTATATATTTCTTTTAATCCAGAGTTGGAGGAACTGAATGTGTTATTTTAAATCAGTAATGGTGCTCTCCTCAAAGTTATATTTTAACATTATTTTCTTAAGGGATTTGCTTCCTTCTTTTTCCCAGAGGCTGTCAGCCATTGTCTTGCCCTCTTTTTGACACTCACACTTTTTCATCAATCTGGAAGTCCACTCTTTTGACTGAAACTACAGTGTTTTGATGGTTACCCATGGCTGTATCTGAAATCTTGGAAAGATCAGAATTGGTAAGAGCACTGACCAAAATTTGCAAAGGTTAATAAAATTTTCTGTTCTCCTGAGTTTTATACAAAGTGTTAAAACTTACAAAGCTACAGAAGGATTTCAACATCTCCCAAGCATGTTATAAAATATATAAGAATTACTGTGTTGTTAATTCTCAAAATCAGCTATTACTTAATTTGATTCAAAACTTAGAAAATATACGGCTATCACTAATAACAAATCTTCTGTAAACTGAGGTTTGAATTGTATAACAAAAACCTTGAAAAAGGATAAAAATCTAATAGGAAAAATTTCTGATGTTTGTAATTATGAGACAAAAATATTGTCATATTGCTCAAAATATGGGTTACAAGTATGGCTTGTATTTACTAAAATGGTATATACTAAGGGTATATCCTTCTAGTTACTGGCTGGCAATGAATCAGTGCATGGTGGCCCTAAATAAGCTATAAAACTAATAATTTGGTGCTAATATTAATTCTAAAGCGATTTCTTCCTTTAATGGAGAAATAAGAGAATGAGACATTACAATGTCTATACAGACTTTTCTCTTTTCCAGTATCTGGTAGGGCAAAAAAAAAAAAAAAAAAAGGATAGAGAATGAATAGATTTTGCATTAGAGAACATGCTTTACTGACTGATCAAAGATAATATTAAAGATAGAATTTTTCTTTCCCATGAGGTAATTTTATAGGCATTCCTCTTATAATACAAGCTTTATAAGCAAGTTGAAAAGGTGATAAAAATCCTTTCTTAGGCTGCCAGTGCTCATTAAATTACATAATGAATAAAAAGGTACTCCAAAAAGCACTTTATAAATGGAAGGTATTACTATTACTAATACTAGCCAACTCACCTGCAGATGAAGGAAGCTGGTCATACTCCTGTGATGTTCTATTGGACTTGACACTTTCCCCTGGCAACCTCCTCGCGGGAGGCAAAGGAACTTGGCCACTTGCTGGATCAAAAAAGGGATCTTAAAAATAAAGATAATTTTCAAATTAGAATGCCTTTCTCTGCTGGTTGACTAAAGGAAAAATTCTAGAAATTCTCTATAAAGATCTTACTTTTAGAAAATAATTTAGAAAACTAATTTCATAACTGATATTAACAACTTTTAATCTACCAGCATATTTTCTTTCTATCACTTGCTCAATTATATTCTTCCCATTTATTCTTAGATAATACATTCATACAAATTTTATATTTATATTTTCAGATCTTATTCAAAATTGTTGATAAAACTCCTAATTTTTATTTTCTGTCCCAATATTTCTTGTACAATAAATAGAAACTGTTGTAAAAGTAAAGAAAGAAAAAAAAGGGGTGTTGATTTTTTGTCTATAAGAATATTTGAAATAAGTTAGTCTCTCTCTAAGTAGTAGCAGGCAGTCTGTCAAGTGGAGTATACATTTGTGATTTCTGAGGATAGATGAATTTGTGTGTGTGAAATCTCCTGTACATACAAAGTGCTTTATAAAGTAACACTAGATTGCATATCCTATGTTAACACATTGTTTGCGGGTAGTTTTTATCGTGCACTCTACTACCAGTCAATATAAAACATATAAATATGTTTCCTGCATAAAATGTGTTAAGAATTGTTTGTTGTAACTGGCTCACTGAATAGTAAAATCGATTGTTAAAAGTTGTATTATTAGTAAGTTTTAAACATAGAGGAAAAATTTTTTGTCTTTACTACTTTGTCAGTGAGAGAGGGAACATCTGAAATAGTAAAAAATATAAATTATAGAGAAATTAAATTTTATTTTACTACTTCTAATGATATTTATTAACTGGAACTAAAGTCAGATAAAGAGATTTTGTCAATGCTACTATATCAAACTCTTAGGACCATAAACTTAACTGGTTTAAAATGAGTAGTGCATGGGTTTAATCCACAGAACTGATTCCTCTTCTGAGTGGATGAGAGTTACCTCTACAATATTTGGTTCACTGATGATTTTTTGCCACCACTTCCATCCGTCTCAGGCTCCTCTGGTTTCCTCTCTCATATTACTTACTTTTTTATCTGGCAGGTGCTCCAACAGTGCAGTAAGTTCTTTTGAGGTTAGAGACCTCATCTTATTCACACTGTTTGAATTTAATCTCCTAACACAAACATAATACCAAGAATGCTGCCAAGCAAGTGGTCTGGATTTCATAAATATTTACTTTTAACTACAAAAAGTAAATGCTGACAGATTGATTTTCCATGAATTCAAAACAAACCTATGAATTTCAATGACAAATCCATGAAATCTGAATTCCTCACATAAGGCTAAAAATGTAAATACTACAGACCTAATTATATCTCATTGTTTTAACTTCCATTTGAGTTTTTCATTCAGGATATGTAAGAGTTTGATTACTTAAGAAGGTAATACATGCTAATTTATACCAATTTTTCACTAGATAATGTAAGGCAAGAATTGAAGTCATTGATTATTTTTGCCCCTATTTGAGTACAATAATTATCCCCAGATTTGCTGGAGACTTTTTGACCTAAGCAAGGCTATTGAGCTTGCTTTCATTAATTTCAAGATTAAAATGAATCTTAGATTTTGAGCATTCAATATTTGAAGAGTTGGTGGTTCAGCGTCATTAATTTTGCTGAAACATTTTAGGAACATAAATCAAATTCCATGCAACTGTTAATCTTTGATTAGGAAGAGTAACCAAAGGAACCAAATATGGTAATTTCTGCATAAATTTAGAAATTTCCCAAGGATTTAGATATATTCAATAAAGTTTACTTTCAGTTCCTCTGCAATCTAAAACATCAATGATATAACAAGTTAGAGGAAAGACTATCTTTTACAATACATATACTTTTAAAATTTCCTTAGGGGTAATTTACAGGTTTGCCAGATATACATATGCTATTTCTAATAATCTATTTAAGGCCAACCATTAGATTCTGGATACACTGCAGAGCCATAAATAAAACACAAAATGTACAGTTGTATGATATTATTCTATTGAACTACCTCACTTAAAAAGTCACTAGATACACTAAAAATATTATCATAAAGTATAAAAATATTTATAGGTCAGTTCGGAACCACTACCATGCTCTGTCATGCTGAGTTTGCTACTTGTCAGGTATGGGGTAAACTGGGCTTTTATAGCAAGCTTGTGCAGGTGGAAGCATTCATGCTTCAATGGGAAGAGCTTTACAACACAATTACTACAGAGAGTACAATAATTAACTGTCTCCTGATAAGAAAAATTTGAAAAGCAATAAAGTTGTTAAAAATAACTCTTCAAATACTAATTACAGTAAAATTTTATATCCATACCTAGTATTAAAACATACAAATTGAAAATAGCATAGCCAATGTACCATTAAATAGTAATACATGTTTGAGAAATGAATGAATAAACATCATGGGATTAATTGATTATAGAAAGCAAAGTACGACTGCCTGTGATTTATAGTATATAATGCTAAATTTAAAATTAGTAATTATTTTAAAGATTATAAAATACTAAGGAAACACTAGAAGGAGAAGTTGGCCAATACAAAGAAGTGGGAAAGACTTCTGGTAAAGATGGCAGAGTAGGTAAACACTGTACTTGGCTCCTCCCATAACCACATCAAATTTATAACTAAATTATACAACCACCACCACTGTAAACCACCTAAAATCCAGTTGATGTCCTATAAGTAAAGATACAAAGAAGCCATGTGGAAACTGGGAGGAGGGATGGAGATGCAGAACAGGCAGATCCCACACTCACAGTGTGGCAGTGAAGAACTAGGAGGGATATCTCAGCTGCAGCAGTGTCTTGGGAGAGCAAGGGGTCCCACCCCACAACAAGCTCCCTAAACCAGTGCTCCAGTGCCAGAAAGAGGAGTCCAAGTAACATCTGGCTGTAAAGACCAGCAGGGATTGAATGTGAGAAAGAGGGAGGCTGAAGAACTACATGCTGTAGGTCTTAAAGGGCTTAGGCACAAACTCACTCACTCTGGGCTCCAGTGCTCTAGAGGCAGCAGCTCAAAAAAAATGTCTGGGACATACGAGGAGAAACTAAATTCCAGCCTCAGGGCCAGGGCTGGAAGAGCAGGGTTCAGGACAGCTCTCTCCAGTAACGGAAGTACTGGTAGGTGCCACTGTATTTTGTTGAGCGCTCCCCATACCCCACTGTCCTAGTCAAGGTGGGTGCCAAATCTGAGATCTTTACTAACCTGGCTAACACTATTTGCCTCACCTTAGTGATTCCCTGACACTCTTCCTCATCTTACTAGCATACCTGGCTGAATCTCTTCCACTGGCTCCTCACACAAGTAGTCTGCCTCGGCTCACGCTTCAGAATTTCCTAAAATTTATCAAAGGCCCACAAAATGCAAATGAGCAGTAAGTATCTGGCTTTGGTGTGTCCAGTACCTCTTGCTAAACTACCTCAAGATTGGCATGACCCACCTGAATTGGCAATGTAACTCCCAACAGGTAACCCGAAGCCTAGCATAAGAAGCATCTAGTCTTGGCTTGGAAAGTAGCCTCAACTAAATGGCCACAAACATGGCACTAGTGGCAGCTGGCCTCAACTCACACCATGGCACCCACCAAAGGGCTCCAAGCCCAACACTGGTGGCTGCCAGCCTTGGTTCATAAAAAGAGTCTCACTCAGGAACCTCTCAGCCCAGCACAAGCAGAAACCAACACACATTACTTTGTGGCTCCTACTAGACACCCTCCAAGCTGGGGACAAGCAGTAGATGAATCTGATCTACACTGTAGCCCTTTTAGGAGACTCTAGAACAAACACACCTGGTGGCCAGTTATCACCCACCAGAGCCCCACCTAACTAGCTTCACAAGTTACAAACCTGAAGAATAGATTTGGCTGGCACTAGAGCCCTACCAATGTGATTCCTGCTTGTGGGGTTGACCCCTGTACAACAGCTCATCCACTATAGTCACAGCCAGTCCTTAGAACCCCTCAGCCAGAAGGTCAAATTGACCCACTGATATGAACACAGGAATCAAGGCTCAACTACAATAGGAAGGCACACACAACCCTCATAAGGGACATCTCTGAAGCACTGCCCAGCTGAAGTGACCAGGGAGATTGCATCACTGGGTTCCACAAGATAGCTAAATAAAGCCAGGATGCAAAGACTAGGAGATGAAGCAGATCTACCTAATACATAGTAACAAATACATGGAGTTAGCTAAAATGAGGACACAACAAAACATGTGTTAAATAAAAGAATAGGACAAAACTATAGAAAAGAACTAAATGGAGACAAGCAATACGCCAGACATAAAGCTCAAAACACTGGTTTTAAGGGTGGTCAATTAACATAGGCAAAGGATAGATGAGCTCAGTGAGAACTTCAACAATGAGGTAGGAAAGGTAAAAATGGGATAGAAAACAAAAAAAAGAATGAGTCAGAAATGGAGAATACAATAACTGAAATGAAATGTACACCAGATGGAATCAACAACAGACTAGATGAAGTATAGGATAAAATCTGCAATCTGGAAGACAAGGTAGTGAAAACAAATTATACATTGTGATCAAGTGGGGTTTATTCCTGGGATTCAAGGTGGTTCATATCTACCAGTCAATTAATATGATCCACCACAAAACAAAAGGAAGGCTAGAATTTATAAGAACATATTGATACACGGAGAAAATCCAGCACTTGAGAAAATCCAACATTCTTTCATGACAAAAGACTCTCAGCAAAGAGGGGATAGAGAGAAGACGCTTCCATGTATGGCTAGATGTGATAAACACACACCTAACATCATACTCAATGGTGAGAAGCATAAAGCTTTCTCTCCAAGATTAGGAACAAGACAAAAATGCCCACTTTTACTGGATGTCCTAGCCATAGCAATCAGACAAAAGAAAGAATGAAAGGAGAAAGAAAGAAACAAGGCACCCAGTTTGGAAAGAAGTAAAACTGTCATTATTTGCAGATGACATGATACTCTACACAGAGTACCCTACAGATTCCACC